TTTTTGTATACTGCACATCAATTAATTGACATCTATTGTCAGTAGTAGCCCATTGCTTAAATTCAAGTGTCTCTATTGAATGTGATTGAAGTACATCGAGGATCTTACTTAGTATATTATTTACACCAAGACAGTCAAAACATTCATCACAGTGACATGCTTCCGTTGTCTCTGAATATAATGCTTCATCTAAAATTTGTCGATAATTGAAAGGAATGTGGTCTTGCAATTTGAATTTTCTACATATTTTAAGTATAGGTTCTAGTAGCAGTTTAATATTTTGATGACTGATGCAAACACAAACATTATGAAAACGTTTTGATTCGTCTACTAAAATACATTGCGTAGGGCGATATCGACAAAATGTAGAAAACCCAAGGAACTTACCGTGTTCCTCAGTAAAAAGAGCAAAAATTTCTTTCATACTGTGTAGCAGTAAACGTTTTTGGAGCTTTTCTGATGACTGTCCTAGTTTTACAGTTTTGGTATCCCTCATACCAGGACATTCTCTACTTATTTCAAAATTAAAGAAAAAATCTATTACCATCTTGATTTAAACATCTATTAGAGCTGATGACCTATTGCGTTGCACGGGCTGATAAAATATAGTTTCAGTTTCACGAATTTTTTTTGACTCACGAGCAGCATACATTGTACAACCTATTTTTTTCTGCATTTCAGATAGATTCCAAGTAGAAGGTGCGAATAACAAAATGTTAATTTTTTCTGAATAATTTTCAGCTTTATGGTACTTTAATTTTAAATCCTGCGTAAATTTTGTTTCAAAATCACTTTGATTATCTGTAATGGCATTTTTGGAGTCTTTGAGGAATAACTTACTGAGACTTAATGTGACTGTATGTAGCTTTTTCTGTATAACTTCAGAATTTTTCTTATCGGCTGTGCTTATAATATTTATGTTCAATTGTTTGCACAATTTATTCACTGTTTCAAGCACTTCATTTTGTTGCTGACACAAACTTAAACTAAAATCTTCGTCTCTAGTGCCATCAGTATCAATGAATGGATTTTGAAATGATTCCGAATCGCACGAGTCTATCTCCATCGGCTCACCTTCCTGGCCTACTGGAGAAACAGATCTATTAATTTCTGATTCAATTTTGCTCTGCTTTTCTTGCTGTATATTTCTCACATAATCTTCTATCGAACGTGAAGTCTGATTATTATTGATCAGATTTTTTCGTTCTTTCATGATCCGATAACATACTACTCGGCAACTTTCACACAAAAATTCACCACTTTGCAAAAATGAAGAAAAGGCAGCATAGATCCCATCTGACAATTTTTTGAAATTCCCTCTACGGGCTTTTTCATGTTTATCAAAAATATTTTTGCAATATTTAATGCTTATGGGGCTCTTTCTTACCATTTTGAAAGCACAAAACTTCACTGGAATGGCAGACACAACCCTCTACGTGAACGTTCACGAGAAAACTAAATTTGGAGGACGAACCTCAGAGACTTATATTTCGGCCAGCCTACCACACACCTACAAGTTTTCTTAATAATAAATATTGTCACTCTCACCTACACTATCTATGAGGCCATAAATTAGAACTATCATTAGTGCGGCATCAGCTAATTGCCAGGTGCTTAAGCCTGACGCCAATAAGCTGTCCAAGCGGCGCGTCTTAGGGCCCCTAATTATTATAGATTTGTATCACTAATACAAAAGCTGAATTTATTTGATATTAGATTAACAATAGTATAATAAAATAGAGGTAATAAAGACCAAATTGTAGTAAAAAAAAAATACAAATACAACAAGAAAGCTACAATCGGTTAGTGTGCCGCTCGAGCGTCTGCGGCCGTCCGAACGGCGCGTCGGCGCCGTCACTAGTTTATTGTTTATTACGAGGCTGGAAGTGCCAATTACAAAAATGTTAAAACAGTTTTTCATAGAAAAAGGGCCAAGGAATACAATGGAAAAAGAATTTTTGAAATCCAAGACTACCGCCATAGAAAAAAATTTACTTTTTATATTCAAAAGTTAATAACATTTGAAAAAATGAAAAAAATGGTTTTCTATATTATTATCTTAAAAGTATGTAGTTTTGTGCGTATTTTAAAAAAACAATCGTGTCGATAGCTTTTGCGGTTAGCGAGATATGAATAGAAAAAAAAAAATTCGTTGAAATTTTTTAATTGTTAATAACTTTTTAAATAATTAATATATTGACCTAAAAATTTGTACGGATATTGCTCTTCATATAAACAATCATCCTACTAAGTTTCATGAAAATCGATGACATATAGGTCTGGAGGCATTCGCTGTAAGCGAGAATGGGCCACATAGAGGACAATCTATGTGAAGAAGGCCCAAAGCACTTAAATGAGGCCACTCCCGCACACGCCGTCCCCGGTCAATTAGGGTTCGAATTTTGCTTACGCTTGAGACACTCCCCAAATTTTCCAACCAATTAAGAGAAAATTTGAGATCTTCCTGCCCAAAAATGACAAAGATTTTCGAGTGGGAGTCTCTTGCGAAAAGTATAAAAGAGAGCTTTTCAAGAAAATTAGGCAGTTATTTTTCTAATTTAGTTCGTGCAACTATTTCAAATTCGCTAGCTATTTTTCAAGTTCGTCCAGTTTAGTTAGTCCCAGTTATTCTTTCCAGTGTATGTGTGGGAAACTAAGATAAAAGTGAGTAAGGAAAATCAAATAAAATTTCTTTTATTCTAACTTCTTTCTACATTCCTTACTCTCCGTATTCTTTCCTATTTTAGTTTCGCGTACGGTTTGTCATTTTAGATAATTAAACTCGATTGCCAAGCGTGTGGTCGAGTGCATATTAGATAGGACCCCCCTTTACGTTATTTTATTGCCAAGAGTGTGGTAAAATAACGCGAAGCATTGCTATATTGCCTAGCGTGTGGTATAGTAAAGCTTCGATCCTCCGTCGCCGAAAAAAGAATTTCCCGTGATAGTGGTGACGCACGTCCCGGTTATTTTCCGTAAGGATAGACCAAAAAAAGTGCGCCTGAGAATTGTTTCGTCAACCGACGTTACAGATTACAATTAAAATAAATAGAGTAGGTATTGGGATGAGATAGAAACACGCCAAGTTACTTAATACGATAGGAAACAGGAAGACAAAAAATGAAAAAAAACAGCATTAGAAAGGGCTATGAGGTATGAAAACAAAATAACAGAAAAAAGAGATGGCTCAATGAAAAAAGAAGCATAGAGAGAAATAAAGAAAAGGGAAAGAAATGAAAAAGATAAAAAGGGTAAGAAAGAGGAGAAAGGGAAAAGGCTAGAAAAAAGTAAAATATATAGAGAGAGGGAAGAGGGAGACGAAATGAGAGAAGAGTTTTTGGAAGAAATAAGAAAAGAGCTAAAGAAAAAAGAAGAAAAAGAACTAGAAGAAAAGCTAGAGAAGTCAAGATACATAAAGGAGTGGAAAGAACTGAAAGAAGAAATGAAAAAGTATAGATGAAAAGAATTCAAGAAGAGGGAAGAATAAAAGGCCTACAAATTAGGGAAAGGTTTAGGTTAGGTAATGAAACGAGAGAAAGCAGGTATTGGGAAAAAGAAGAAAATAAGAGATGCAGAATGTGTATGAAGAAGAAAATTGGAAGTACATAGTAGAAAAATGTGAAAAAAGCAAAAAGAAAGGGGAAGAATTGGAAAAAATAATAATAGGAAGCAAAGAATAGATAGCGTGGATGATGGAGCTACGATTACAATGGAAAAGAAAAAGAAACGAAGAGGAGATAGAAAAAGAAAAACAATAAGATGAAATTAAAAGACCCTAAGTACAGACGGAAACAGAAGACAGAGTCACAAGACTCGTAGACACATCTACATACACACACATACAAGGGTGGTCCGATAAGTACTTAGCCTATAATAGAAAAACGAAAATTTTGGAAAAGTGGCGTTTTATTTTTCAACATCGTCTCCTTTTAGTTCGATACACTTGGCCTAGCTATGCTCCGACTTCTTTAACCCGTCTGAAAAATACGTTTCCTCGAGATCTGAAAAGTAGGCTTCCGTGGCAGCGATTACCTCCTCATTCGACTCAAATTTCTACCCGACGAGTGACTTTTTCAAGTTTGGAAACAAAAAGAAGTCACACGGGGACAGATCTGGAGAATACGGTGGATGGGGCAGCAGTTCGTAGCCTAATTCGACCAATTTGGCCATGGCGACGGCGGAGGTGTGAGTCGGTGCGTTGTCATGGTGGAAGAGCACTTTTTTCTCCGCCAAATGGGGCCATTTTTTCTGCAATCCGACGTCGAATCGGCCCAATAATTCGGCATAGTACAGCCCTGTGACCGTTTTGCTCCTCTCCAGGTAGTCGATGTAGATCACACGTTATGAATCCCAGAAAACGGTGGCCATCACCTTTCCGGCCGATAGGGCAGTCTTCGCCTTCTTCGGAGCACTTTCGCCGGGTAAAGTCCACTGTTTCGACTTTCCCTTGGTCTCTGGTTTATACCAGTGGATCCATGTTTCGTCGACTGTCACAAAACGACGCAGAAACTCCTTCTGATTGCGCTTAAACATCGTCAGACATTGCTCTGAAGTTGTTTCACGGTTGCGCTTGTTGTCTGGAGTGAGCAAACGTGACACCCATCACGCCGATAATTTATTATTCTTTCTTTTGGTCGTCACGTGCATCGCTCCTCTCCCCACTCTTTCTAGACCAAACTTCTTTGTCGTTATCTCTCTCTCTTTCGCTCTCGCTTGCAACGTCACTCTGCCTGTCACTACTCGCCCCTCTTCCGACCCTGCAATGACATCAGCATGCATGACTTGTCATCATACGCGCTCGCTCGCCAATTCCTGCGAGTAGAGTGCCGCACACAGGGTCAGCGAACTTGCTATAGCCCTGTCACAACAGAAACATGTTAGATTTAAATTTATAAAATAAAAGTAATACATTTTTTTTCACAATTCTGTATAGAAATACAAATTTTATATTTATATATAAATTTTAAATATCAAATATTAATAATTCATAATCATTCCAGGCGTATTAGATCACGAAACTGTTTTTTTAATGTCTTTGCCAAGATGTGGGGTAAAAGATAAAATTAGCAGGATCTACGAAAATCGTTCCAAGCGTTATGCGCTTCAAGGTACGTTTTATATTTCTTAATTTTGAAGACATTTTATATCTTTTAATTTTATCTTTTCCATTTCTTTCCTAAAACTCTTTTAAATTTTCATTATTAATAACTTAACTTAATACGCGCATAACCTAGTAAAAACAAACGTTATCAAAAAATGACCTCTTTAAAAGTTGCAGGGGACCAAACCTTACCCTTTCATATGATTTTCCAGATAGAGTCCTGGCATGCTATGAGAAAGAGAGAAAGAGAGAGTGGTCCCGAGTCACGCTGAGAAAAATTTTTTTTATAAATTTCGTTTTTAGAAAAACTTTTTATATGTTATTACATTTTTACTACATTTTCGTTATGATATATATTTTCCATTTAACCAGGTGTACTACATAAACTTCCTTCCAAAAGATTTCTTATTTTTTCGAGCGGAGAGCACGCTCCCAATTCATTTAGAATCAGAACGAAAGAGAGAGAGAGAGAGCCCACACTTAGGCCCTATACCAAATACATAGCTAGCATGTATACGCACTGGGAACTGTACAAGTTATGCCTCGTAGTGGCTCAAATGGTAGAGCGCTGGCATGTGGACCCAGAGAATGCGGGTTCGATTGCCCAACATGTCCGTTCCTATTTTGAAAATTACTAGCTCAGTCAATTAATTGTTTTATTAATTTATTTTGTGACGAGAGCAGGCCGTGTGCCAGTCTCCCGTCTGCGTTTCTCCCTCCTCCACTCGGCAAGGCGTGTTGGCCAACGTAAGGCGCATTAAAGTATGCGCCTAACACTTGGTCTTTTTGTTTCAGCGCCAAGGACGGGCCAGCGCAGTTGGGCGCAGGAAAAAGTTGAGGAGCGCGGAGAGAGTGAAAAAAAGAGAGAGAGAGAGAGAGAGTACTAGGCCCATGCAGGGATAGGCAGGCGCGCGACGCGTGACCGATAAGCGGTGCGTCGCGTGCCGCCTAACTAATAGGTCAAGGTAGGGAGAGGAGCGAGCGCCGCTGAGCGGCTGCGAAACGAGCGCGAGAATAAGTGCGTGCGAGAGTCCAAGCCTAGTCCTGCTAGAGTGCAGAGAGTGCAGTTTGGGATAGCTGAAAGGAAAGCCAACCCCACCGGCAACAACTTATCTGCGACTACAGCCAGCCCCACCTGCAAGGAGAATCAACGTCGCCTGCAGATACTTGGTCAGCGACAGTAACCAGCAGCTAGCAACGATCTCACCAGCAGCGACGACCGGTACTTCCTGCAGCAGCACATCGCTCGAAATTCTCGACGTTGCGAGGAGTAGTGAATAAAGGTTAAGCCTTCTTTTCTTCTTTCTCTCTATACTCACTGTCTCTGGTGATGCGACGATCGGTGCGCGTTGAATAAGATAGCCAGGCATTCACGTGCCGACTATCTAAAGGTTCGCGCTTAAGTTTAATTTATGGTAGTGTAAGTCGCGACCGGCGAATTGTCCAGGCGCCCATGTGCCGGGCAATTTATCCGGTATTGGTTCGCATAATTTTTAAGTAAGTTTGTAATAGGTTAAGTATGCGAATAGGTATTAGGACGAAATGCGAAATATTTATCTGTAATTATCTTAAGTAGTTTACTGTTCTATTTGTAGTTAGTTGGTCGATAATTTAGATTATGTTATGCGCGCGTATGTTTAATGCGAATAATTATTAATAATAATGGGTTAAGTTTAATATGATTTCTGTCATTGTATAATTTATTTATGACCTATCCTTTCTTTTCTCCCTCAATTGCCTTGAGCGAAAGTGCCTCACTTACCCCGCAAAATAATTGGTGACAAGAATGAGAGATTTTTATCACATGGCATCCCTTGTGAGTCTGGTAATTGAGAGACAAATGAGAGAAACGGTTTGATGGTGAATTTTTGAAATAACGATTGACTGATTTTCTTTGTCAACTAAGGGAAGAGAGTGCGCGTAAAAGAATTTCGAGTTTCAGTATTTTGAATTCTTTGTTAGTGCTTGCCAGTGACCTTTCTTAATAGCGGTGTCGGATGACAACGGTGCGTCATTGAGTCGCTCTGACGCTAGACGACTACGTTCTTTCCTCGCTTTCGTTTTTCTTTGTTTTAAGAATTTTACTAAACTGCCTATTAAAAAATTACGGTAAGTAAATTTTGATAAATTATAATTTCTTTCTATAGGCGTAAGCAAGGCGATTTCTTGCCGGCTTATAGCTTGGAAAGAAATTAATCAGTAAGGTATCAGGTTACACGGACCAGTCGAGACTTGCTTAGCCCCCATAAGCTCGCGTCGTAGTCAAGTTACGGATTTTCATTTTTAGAAATAACAATGTCGCTAGCGTGTAGAGATAAAATAGTCATGCACTGAATATTACGCGATGCGCATGCGAAAAAACTAAAACGCCAAATTGATTCCACAGAACCGGCTGTTCTGTTGGAATTAATGCGCTGTCGCGAACTTAGCTTACACGGTGATCTTGAGGAGTTACAAATCCGGTATTCCGATATATGCTGTTAAAAGAGCGGCCAGATTTGCAGCCATCGTTTGCCAGATTTGCAGCCAGGCGATTTTGCGTCAGGCCGAATCCCGGAAAAGCTGTACGACGAACAGCAAGAAACAACGGTAAGCAGCGCGCAGAACGCGAACCTGGGCGATGAATTCGCGGTAGCTGCAGCACCTTTGGCGGCCGAATTATTATGTGAACAAGAGCAGGCGACACAGGCAAGAGCAGGTGTTGCCGCTCCTTGTGAACAAATTCGACCGCCGGGCGAAAATGCAGTCGCGCTCGGTAATAACAACGTGTTACCGATGACGGCTCGCTCGCCGTCGGACAGCAGGACCTAACGCGCACGCGAACAGGTCGCGCAAAACCAAGGCGAGCGTAGCACTAGCGCAATAAGCCAGATTTAGGGGGCCCTCACAGCAGTACCGCGTTGGATATATAGACGAGAAATGCGGCAAGGTGTTACAGACGGCGCGAATACAGTATTTAGAGTTGAAAGAGAGGCGATGCACAGTAGAACGGCTCAAGCCGAACAGCAGACTTCATTGCCGCATCAGGCCAAGCCGCTCGGCGACCGCGAGGCGCTAAACGCGCCAGCGGTTGCGACTGAGCCACCGGCCCACGCGAACGCATCAAACAATAGAGCAAGTAGTACATTCATGGGTTGAAGACTGGGAGCGCGAGGTACGGGTAGCCACTAGAGAGGAAACGCAAATACCAGCTCCATTAGGTGAAGATTCAATTATTAGCGAGAAAAGCGTAATTAGCATAAGGCAACCTAAACAGAAGCAGACGAGACAGGTAGAAAATATCAGTGGAAGCGACACTAGCTCGAGCTTATCGGATACTGATAGTTGCAACACTTATAAAGTTAAATCGCCGCGGAAAACTAAGCAAGTAAGAGCAGAAAGACCAAGCAAAAAGAGTGCTCCTCCAAGAATCAAGTATATAAATGGTATACCTGCGGGTGGAGTAAGCGCACTCAATGCCTGGTCTCTCTGTTTTTCCGGTAAGGATAGTTCAAACGCACTAAGTTTGCTATCAGGTTTGAGTGATTGCCAGAGCTATTATGGCACCTCGGACGAAGAGATGCTGATAGCAATAGGCACTGCATTCCGCGATAAGGCGCGTCCATGGTACGAGGTTAATCGCAATATGTGGAGGACGCTGAAAGATTTTAAAAAGAGTTTTTCTAGTGAATTCTGTCGACGATTGAACAGAGAACAACTTTACGGCGAATTGCGTCAAAGGACACAGGGCGAGAATGAGAACATTACGGACTATGTCGCGGCCGTTTTACGCCTATTTTACGCCGTTTTGATCCGCCTGTTTCGGTGAGACGCCAGTTAGCTATGATTATAGAGGGATTACATCCAAGATATAAACAATACCTTGAAACTAAGACCTTCTCCGATCTAACTAGTTTTAAAGAAGCGGGTATGGCGCTCGAAGATCGCATGGCCGATTGGAAATGGTGGCAAAAGCCGCCCACGGCTGACGTAACGCTAATTCCGGAATCGGCGTACACAGAGACGAAGAAGTCACCTGGTAAGCAAAAATCGGTCGAAACTATTGACGGTTTAAACAACGCGATTGACGAGGTCTTAACAGTCGAATCTCCTAAAAAGAAAGCGCAGCAGCAAAACAAAAAACTAGGTAAAAAGGGCATGAAGCAGAACGGTGAAATTGCCGTGGATATTGCCGATAGGCAACAGCCACAGGCAAGAAACCAGCCTGCTTACCAAGCCGCGCCTGCTCGTCAGAGCGCCCGGCAGGTCTCGCCAGAGGCCCCGGCTACAGGTGTAGCCCCTAGTCTGGTCCCGCAGCAGCGCAATCAGGGAGGTAGCAACTTAAATAGGCCATTTACGGAGGCTTGCTTCAATTGTAACGCGGTGGAACACAGGAGGGCGCAATGCCCGATAGCTCAGGTTAATCCGCGGGTAGTTTGTTATAAATGCCGACAACCGGGGCATTACGCTAATAACTGTCCAATGCGAACTTCAGAGCCAACATTATATTTCCAGGTTTGTTGGACAATCGGTTACGTGTTTAGAGAATGCCCTACTTTTAATCAGGTGAAGCAGGGAAACCTCAGCGCGGGAGCCGCCGACCGCTCGACGACTCCTGCTTAAGATGGATTGAGCGGACCATTGAGGTAGAGAAAGTGCTTCGCGCAAAGAGCAAAGACACCGTAGAAGAAAGGAATAAAGTTGAGGCAAAATGGGATGGCGAGAACAAGGCAGAAACTGCCAGTTCTGCCCCTCCTTTCGTGAATTTGGTAAAAGAGGAAGGCGAGAACAAGGCAGGAACTGCCAGTTCTGCGCCACCTCTCTTAGGCGAAGTAATAGGGGAATATTTGAAAGTCAAGGCTAAGATCAAGCGTGCAGTATTTGTAGAATATAAGGATCCGGAAAAAGGGAGTAAGGAAATCGTTGAGTTTAAAAACATGTTTAAAGGCGAGTTTAGTCGTTCGACATTGAAAGAAGCTCGGGCGCAGAATGACGAGGGCGTAAGTTTCCCTAGTAGGATCAGCAATG